CTGAAACATGAAAACTTTACAAATGAGCAGTTGATCTCCCAGCAATATTTAAAACTATGCATGGGTACCATAAGAGATTTCTTCTCCTGTTAATGAATATCTAATAACTTAAACTGTCTATATCCCACTAACAGAGATGATAAAAATATCTTTTCCCTTCTGACATATTCATAAGGAAGCAACTGTCTTTAAGAAAATATTTCAGGCCGGGCATGGTGGCTCACACCTGTAATCCCAGCACTTTGGGAAGTTGAGGCAGGTGGATCACTTGAGGTCAGGAGTTCGAGACCAGCCTGACCAACATGGCAAAACCCTGTCTCTACAAAAAATAGAAAAATTAGTCAGGAATGATGGCACGTGCCTATAATCCCAGCTAATCAGGAGCCTGAGGCAGAAGAATCGTTTGAACCAGGGAGGCAGAGGTTGCAGTGAGCTGAAATCACACCACTGCACTCCAGCCTGAGCGACACAGCAAGACCTTGTCAAAGAAAGAAAGAGAGAAGGAAGGAAGGAAGGAAGGAAGGAAGGAAGGAAGGAAGGAAGGAAGGAAGGAAGGAAGGGAAAAGAAAAAGAAAGAAAGAAAGACAGACAGACAGAAAGAAAGAAAGAAAGAAAGAAAGAAAGAAAGAAAGAAAGAGAGAGAGAAAGAAAGAAAGAAAATATTTTAACACAGCATTTAGGATATCACTTAGGGAACTTGAGAACCTGGGTTCAAGAGTCAATGCATCACATTAAGAGAAAATTGAGAGGACTTTCTTTTTATTCCTGAAAAGTGATGGAACAGAAGAGATAGAAAAAGTTGGGGGAGATTAGAGCCTGTCACAGAGGAGGCAGCCAGGGAAAACCTCTGGGGATATATGGTAGCTTGGTGCAAATATCTGTTATCATTGCATCTCCATGACAGCAGGGATGTTTGTCAGTTTTTTTCACTGATGACTCCCAAGCATCATGAGCTGTGCCTGGCACAATGTAAGGATTTAATGTTTCTTATAGAAAAGAGTGAATGAATGAATGAATGAATGAATGAATACATGAATAGAAATTTTTAGTGTTCAATTTGAAATAGCTTGATCTTGGAATGTAAACTCCTCTCAAAAAAAACATTGACCAACTTGACTATTTTCAAAGTTCTTTGTGAGTTGGTGAATGTTTTGAGAAAACTGAGGCTGAATTTTACATCTGGTAAAATCATGCCAAACAGACAGCATGTGTGGGAGAACATGATGATCCCTCACCCCACCTAATCCAGTGAAGGCAGATAAGGCCCCAGTACATGTGCAGGGATAATTATGATATTTTTTACTTCCATGGGGGCACAGAATAGGGCTTCAAGTGATTTTCTGTAAATACTACATGACCTGAAATCTCCACCTGATGTTCAGGTTTTGTCCATTCATGTACCAACGCGTGTGAGACTTTGCCTGCGTGTACTAGATCAGGAATGTAAGGAACGACAGAATAACACACACACACACACACACACACCCCAATTTAAAAAACCCTCTGATAATAATAGTACAGTAATAAAGGAAAAGTTTAGAAGCCAATTACTCCCAAGACAGCATTGTGTTTAAGCTATACCAATCCAATGAGAATATACTGTGTCTTTTAAAAACGTTATTACAAAAGAGGCTGGGGGCTGAGGAATGAGATTGGAGGTGACAGATGAGGTGGGAGTAGCAGAGGGGAGCACCATCTCACATCTGGTTGCAGCTCTAAAGCCGTGACTCAGGCTGACCCTTTGCTCACCTGGGTTGATGCTGCCGCACACGTAGGCAGCACTATGCTGCGGGCACTATGTTTGCCCATGGGCTGCCGTCCATGCTGTTGCAACATACCCCTGTTCCCATAAACTCTGCCCAAACCATGGATCACTGCCTCATTTGTGGCACTAATTCACCCATGACCTCCAACCCCTTTCAGGATTTAGAGCAAGTCCCTCTGCTGCCACTGCCCATTGTTCTTAGTTTTTCTCATTGTCTCTGATGTTTACCCCTCCAGATGGTGGGAAAACATACTGTTCTTAGGTTTGCACTTTAGCAGAGGTACCACTAGATTGAGGGGCTCTTGGGCCCTAATAATACTGTTTTGATCTACCACTCAACAAACTGGATTGAAGTCTAATTTTACAAAGCTTTGATGTTTTCTCTAGCCCTTTCTTTCCCATAACATGTAAAACTTTCTTCCCAAGGCACACAGATAAGGGAAACTGAGGCTATTTGTTTCCCTTTATACACAATTTATTTGCAAAGAGAGTATTTGCCAAACATCATTCGCAGAAAACAAAAACTGTACTTCATCCCAGGTTTCATCTCATTTTTAAATCCTTATTTTCCTTGGGTCTTTTTCCCTAAAAACTTATTTTCCATTTATGTTATCTAGCTGTATTGAATATATTTGTACATGTTCTTCAGTTATTTCTAGAACAAGATGAAGTAAAATTAAGCAAGCATACTAGGTACATGTATATGCTCATGCCAAATGTGGCAGGACTTTTCACCGAGTCACTAGGGAACTTGAGAGCACCATCATTGCTCCCGTTGTACCACAGGTTCATCATACGATCTTGGCTGACTCTCTTCCCCCTCTGTTTTCATTTACTTTGGCATAAAGGAGTATCATAGCAGTTAACCTATCTCTGGGGTGTGTTCAGGTTTAATGAATAAATGTGTATAACGTCTTCGGAGCACCTCACGTGAGATGTGCTGTAACTGCACATTATTAGAGCTGCTATTACAGCACCACCTCGGGACCCTTAGCCTTTAAGCTAGCTTGAGACGGGAGGTCTCGGAAATAATAACAGCCATTCTCCCAGTGTGCCTTTCTCCTGAAACCTCAGAGATCTTAAAGACATTACCTTATTAATGTAAAACTCAGCACGAGATGGATGGAAATGACTCCTGAGTATTTCCTGTTTCCAGGTGGGAGACATCAGCAACACTTTTGCATTTACACACGTTTCACCTGAAATGTGAGCACTTAACTGACACTGTTCATGTAAGAGAGAGCCCCTAATTCATGGTTTCTCTGCAGAGACATGACACTGGGTGATGCTGCTGCAAAGAGTGGCTCCAGTCTAGTATTACTTACACCTCTCAAGATAGTAATGAAGGAACCAAGCCACATTCGTATACTAATAATCGTAATGGTGATCCTATGTTTTTATCTAGCCATAATTTGGCAGAAGTTTGCTTAAGAAAGCATCCAATTTTTTTGATAGTAATATCAATGGAATGCACGAGAAGCTTCTATTTGTAGTTATATGGATTATTGATTACTTTTAAATGGCTGAAACATTGGCTCTTATTTCAGATTATGACACACTTTTCATAGATAAGAAATCACTGGCTGAGGATCAGAGTGTATTTGTCTAGAACCTCATTATTTGAAGAATGAAGAGGCCATTGGCTAAAACAATTATAGTATCAGCCTGCTTAAAAGTAATTCGACTACATTTCTTAAAACTATTCTATAAATCAGACAGCCCTTTCTTACAATTAGTCTTAATTGGGAGGCAATCATTTTATGACATTCAGTCTCAGTATTATGCTGTCCTTGATGCCTAGTATGATATGCCCTGATGAGTCAAACCTTTATCATAATGCTCTTTGGGCTCGTTAGTAACAAAGTCTTTTTGAATTGAGCTCTAAATGGACCTGGTTATACTGAAGTCTTCAAGAGTATAATTACTATTACTCATGGTGCTTTCAATGTTGAACCTGTTTTACCTTAAATTTTCTCCAACATTTTTATAAGTGATTTTTAAAGTTAACTCCATAATTCCACTACGTAACACTGGCATTACATACTGAGATGATGGAGATTTTAGTGAGTTGTCTGCTCACACAAATATGTATTGGAAATACAACGAGCCCCAGGGCTCTCTGTCACTTGGTTAAACCTCGGGCATTTGACTGACATCATTCTTTGGCATTTGCCTCTCTGCTCTCACTCTTTTACCAACGGGTAATGGAAATATGGTTTTCAGCCTCAAATTATCCAAATGTGAGGAACTAACTCCTTGTAACATTCTACCTTTCCCATTCAAGCCCCACCCAACTCCACATGGCTCCAGCACCTCTATTCTTCAGCCTGTGGGAAAAGAGCCCAGACAAGCTCAATGTCAGAAATTTAACTTAGTCTTAGGCCACTGCAGTCACCAATTCCTCATGCTTCGTGTAAAGGCAGAAAAAGACATCAATTTACCCAGGCTAGTTTATAATGATGTATGTTATGAAAACAGTTCTCCTAGACACCTGCAGCACGTAGCCTAGGCTTTGAAGCATGAGATTTGATTTCTCCATTTCAGCATGCAGGCATACAAATATTGTTATTGATCATAAAATTATCCCATCCTTTAAAAATACAGCTACACTATTTGATTAAAGTACTTTCCACTGCCATAAATTTCAGACTGACTCCCCTTCAGTGCAGAAATTCCTTTCCACTTGGTTTTTAAGAGTGTCTGCAATTAATTTCCTTGAGCAATTCTTTAGTCCCATGTCAGTGGATGGTTTAAAAAGGAGGAACTGGCAGGTTCATTTTACTGTCAGCTTAGCAGAATACTAAACTGCCCCCTCTAGTAAAATACAAAGTTTTGCTGCTTTCTAACTTTCTGGAGAAAAGTACATCATCCTCTCTACTGGACAAGAGACTTGGAATTGGAGAAAAGCCTGTGGTGATACAGTCTCGGTCTCATCATTCACTCATTCATGTGCGGACATTACTCAGCTCTTCCTGAGTCCTTGTATTCTCTTCTCCCAAGGCAAAAAATCAATTCACCCACTGGGCTACCAATTGTCTGCATTCATCAAAAGGGCACCATCACTGTTTGGTGGGAGCCAATCCTAGTATTTGTGTTACAAATCAATTCAAGTTCTGACTCACAGCTTTCTTAAAAGCCAAAGAAAAATACTGGGGCCGGTGTATTACAGAATGAATTTTGAATTTTCCCAGGAGTTAAACTTGATTTACCACTAACCAAAACAGAACACTGCAGGTTATTTTTAACAACAGTTCTTTTATTGAAACAATTAGAATAATTTCCTAGTAATTTAAGTCCAAAGATAGGACTTTCCTGGGAATACAATTATTAAAGGATAAATTTATGTATTTTCCTCTTCGCTATTTTAGATTTGGCCTTAGGAAATCCTTTGGAAGCTTGCCCTAAAAAAAAAAAAAAAAAAAAAAAAAAAAAAAAAAAACAAGAAAGAATAACCTCTCATCACTCTTCATGTTAGCGTGTGTCAACTCTGACAGCAATTTCTACCTATGTTGTGGGTTGGTTGAAAAGATAGATTTGGTAACAATAATTTTTCCATGTTTTGAACACAAAAAAATGGCTTTTGATTTTTGGTCATAGACCTTATTTGATGGACTTGATATTGCTTTCAGTGAAAAAGGAGTAGTTAGTAATAATCAATGTAATTTTAAACCCCAGTGTTTTTATTTATCCCACAGATCAATACCTCTATAGGAGCACTGCTTTCCATCAAAGACACTATGGAGAAACTGTGTTCATCAGCTTAACCATATCCATTTCTCAGCACCAATGATTAAATAACTTCAGCCTGTATGAATTTGTTTGGGGTGTCCTTAAAGTAGGCTAATTCTGTTCCAGTTGAATGTCCTTGATTATATGGTACTCAGACAGAAGGAGATTACAAACACTAGAAACGATTCAAATGTCTTTGTGTTAATTAAATTGCCAGAAATTTTATCATGAGGTTATAATGATTCCAAGGCCCTGGCAGGATGTGGCTCCTTTAAAAGGAGCAACATTCTGAACCCGCAGCCTCCCTTTGCTGACTTAGCAGGGCTGCAATCAGCCTGCATGTTAGAGCCCCTGGGAACTGGGCAAAGCAGCCCTTTAGTACTAAGTGGATGTACAGAGGTTTTGCTGGAAGATTTTTAAAATGCGTGCTGAATGTCAAATCTCAAACATACTCAAATCAGGACAAGGTTTTAGAAAACCTTCTTTTTATTTCAAAGTCCAACACTGCTATTAAAACTTGGAAATGTAACTTTTCTCTTCACCTTCACAGCCTGCTAGAACTCATTTCATGAACAATATTTTAGGAATTGTCTATTGATTCTTATCATTGTACTTTCTTTTCCACTCTTTGGAACTTGATAGGAAATGTCCCATGCATTCTTCTCTTCAGTGGGAACTTTGAAAAACCCTCTGGGGGAGTATTTTCCTCTAGCATGGCTTTGAACGTGGGAACATTATGATACAATGTGATAATGAACAATGTGAAATTGTTGGTGCAGTGATAGCAGCCATGTCCATTGAAAACTCCTGCATGTTCTGAAAGAGGCTGGATGGCTTACTATGAAATGTGTCTCCCGGGAGGTTTTATGCTTGGTGAATTGTATCTTCCAATAAGTTATCCAAAGTAAGAAACTTGGATTTTTCTCAATTGCAAGGAGCCCTCTTGCTTAGACTGTTGAACATTTTACACTGGAAATTCAAAGCCAGGTAAAACTTTCATATTTCTTTTGGAATCTGACACTACCCAGTTTACCAAGAGATTTGCCAAGATTTGAAGAACCTTTCTATGAACCTCGGGAAATTTCACGCTAGTGCTGAAACCGGAAACGAGGCACATTTCACCAGGTGTCAGATTTCCTTCTGACCAGCTAGCTCTTTCCCCAGGTTATATTAATTATTTCCTGCCTCAGGATGCGAGAGAAAGATTAACTGGCCTCACACACTACCAAATAAAATATTTCCAAGGAAAAAGGAGTCTTACCAAATACGAATCTGAAGAAGATGACTTCACGATATCACATCATTTTTATCTGGACTCATTATTTAACCAGTGGCTTTGTTACAACACAGATAGTGTTCTGTGAAAACGGAAGCACAAATGGGGATTAAAAGTATATTACGAGTGTCTAATAATGATAATAACAAGATCCGCAGTAATAGCTTCAGAAGGAAAAGAAGGAAGGAGTGAAGAACTTTTGAAGATGTTCTTAGTAAATTTACCAGTGCATTCAGTGACCCAATAGAGTTCTTGATGTGGAAGAGGAATGTGGAAACAAGCATGCAACTTATAAACTTTTACAATATTAGTACACCTAGGCAGGACATTTTGTAAGTCTTTCCTTCTTTTCAAATGAATGAGGCTTTTAATGTGATATTTATTTCTTAAATGTTTGTGGAAACCGGGCTTCCTCAGCCTCGGCATTATTGACATTTTGGGCTGGATGATTCTCTGTTGTGGAGGCTCTGTCCTGAGCATTGTAGGATGTTTAGTGGCATCACTGCCCTCTATTCACTACATACCAGAAGCACCGCACCCCCCACAAGTCATGGCAGTCAATACCCACCTCCAGACATTGCCAAATGTCCCCTGTGAGGCAAAATTGTCCTGGTTACAACTATTTGTTTAAACCTTGCGTGCCCTATGTCTCCAAATGTTCCAGATTCTGCGATTTGTGTGTCAGTTTTGTTTGTTTGTTTGTTTGTCGTCCCATGCATTCAGAGTACTTTATATGTATCAAGACTATAATTGCTCAACATCTCCAAGGAACATTTAGAAACAATGACAGAATCTATGAGCTTGAAGAGACCTTAGGAAAAAGAAGATCATAACAACAGTAGCAGCAGTAGCAACAAACCAATTTCTGAAGTTCAAACCTATTAATGAGGAAACAAAAAAATGCCCTAAAGAGAAACTACAAATATCAACAATCTCTTGACATTTCTGAAGGGCCAGCATGTGGAAATGATCGCTAGCTTTTTCATCAAACTACCATGTTTGTGTTGTCCAGCCTATTGTATTTTGTGATTATTTACATTGTATTATGTTGTGATTATTTATGTTGTATTGGGTGACTATTCACATTTAAATTTAAATTAAGTAAAATTAAATAAAATGAAAAATTTCAGTTCCTCAAGTCACTATTGCTCAAAGCCATAGGCAGCTGGTGATTACCCTATCAGATGATGCAGATAAAGAATATTTCCATCGGGGGAAAAAGTTCTGGCCAACGCTGCTGAGAGTGCAGATGCAACAGGTAGAAATTCCAATAAGATAAGTTTCAATTTTATATATACATATTTAAGAAAACATTTAAAAATCAGAGCTTTGCAACAGTTATTCTCTTCAGTAAGGCTTGAGTAGATACCAAGAAACAATTCTTGCTGAGTAGACTGGTGCAATGGATGAACCAAATCCTCTAGCCCAGACCGAAAAGGCCCTGGTACAAGTTTTTATAATGTTTTAATGTAATAAAATTTTCATAATTTCTTTCAACCCCATGAAATTGAAAGAAACATTCATATTTTAAAATTGATACATTTCAAATATTACATAGCTTCTCAGTTAAGACAATATTTGCAAAATGAAGACTGCTTATTTAAAATTTTCCCCTGTGGAGACTCCAGGGGTGGAGCAAGATGGCCGAACAGGAACAGCTCCAGTCTCCAGCTCCCAGCGCAAGTGACACAGAAGACGGGTGATTTCTGCATTTTCAACTGAGATACTGGGTTCATCTCACTAGGGAGTGCCAGACAATGGATGCTAGTCAGCTGCTGCAGCCCAGTGAGAGCTGAAGCAGGGTGAGGCATCACCTCACCTGGGAAGCACAAGGGGAAAGGGAATCCCTTTTCCTAGCCAGGGAACTGAGACACACAACACCTGGAAAATCAGATAACTCCCACCCCAATACTGCACGTTACCAAGGGTCTTTGCAAATGGCACACCAGGAGATGATATCCCACACCTGGCCGGGAGGGTCCCACACCCGCGGAGCCTCCCTCATTGCTAGCACAGCAGTCTGAGATCTAACTGCAAGGCAGCAGCGAGGCTGGGGGAGGGGTGCCCGCCATTGCTGAGGCTTAAGTAGGTAAACAAAGCCCCTGGGAAGCTCGACCTGGGTGGAGCCCACAGCAGCTCAAGGAGGCCTGCGTGCCTCTGTAGACTCCACCTCTGGGGACAGGGCACAGCTAAACAACAACAACAAAAAAGCTGCAGAAACCTCTGCAGATGCAAACGACCCTGTCTGACAGCTTTGAAGAGAGCAGTGGATCTCCCAACACGGAGGTTGAGATCTGAGAAGGGACAGACTGCCTGCTCAAGTGGATCCCTGACCCCTGAGTAGCCACTAGGAGACATCCCTCACTAGGGGCAGACCGACACCCCATGCCTCACATGGCAGGGTACACCCCTGAGACGAAGCTTCCAAAGCAAGAATCAGACAGGTACACTTGCTGTTCAGCAATATTTTATCTTCTGCAGCCTCTGCTGCTGATACCCAGGCAAACAGGGTCTGGAGTGGACCTCAAGCAATCTCCAACAGACCTACTGCTGAGGGTCCTGACTGTTAGAAAGAAAACTAACAAACAGGAAGGACACCCACACCAAAACCCCATCAGTACGTCACCATCATCAAAGACCAAAGGAAGATAAAACCACAAAGATGGGGAAAAAGCAGGGCAGAAAAGCTGGAAATTCAAAAAATAAGAGCGCATCTCCCCCTCCAAAGGAATGCAGCTCATCACCAGCAACGGATCAAAGCTGGACAGAGAATGACTTTGACAAGTTGAGAGAAGGCTTCAGTCCATCAAACTTCTCAGAGCTAAAGGAGGAATTATGTACTCAGTGCAAAGAAACTAAAAATCTTGAAAAAAGAATGGAAGTATGGATAACTAGAATAATCAATGCAGAGAAGGCCATAAACGAACTGACAGAGATAAAAACCATGACATGAGAAATACGTGACAAATGCACAAGCTTCAGTAACCAAATCTATCAACTGGAAGAAAGAGTATCAGCGATTGAGGATCAAATGAATGAAATGAAGTGAGAAGAGACGTCTAAAGAAAAAAGAGGAAAAAAAAAATGAACAAAGCCTGCAAGAAGTATGGGATTATGTGAAAAGACCAAATCTACATCTGATTGGGGTGCCTGAAAGTGAGGGGGAAAATGGAACCAAGTTGGAAAACACTCTTCAGGATATCATCCAGGACAACGTCCCCAACCTAGTAAGGCAGGCCAACATTCAAATTCAGGAAATACAGAGAACGCCACAAAGATACTCCTAGAGAAGAGTAACTCTAAGACATATAATTGTCAGATTTACCAAAGTTGAAATGAAGGAAAAACTGTTAAGGGCAGCCAGAGAGAAAGGTCGGGTTACTCACAATGGGAATTCCATCAGACTAACAGCAGATCTCTCGGCAGAAACTCTACAAGCCAGAAGAGAGTGGGGGCCAATATTCAACATTCTTAAAGAAAAGAATTTTAAACCCAGAATTTCATACCCAGCCAAACTAAGTTTCATAAGTGAAGGAGAAATAAAATCCTTTACAGATAAGCAAATGCTTAGAGATTTTGTCACCACCAGGCCTGCCTTACAAGAGACTCTGAAGGAAGCACTAACCATGGAAAGGAACAACCAGTACCAGCCATTGCAAAAACATGCCAAAATGTAAAGACCATTGATGCTAGGAAGAAACTGCATCAACTAATGAGCAAAATAACCAGTTAATATATATCATAATGACAGGATCAAGTTCACACATAACAATATTAACCTTAAATGTAAATGAACTAAATGGCCCAATTAAAAGACACAGACTGGCAAACTGGATAAAGAGTCAAGACCCATCAGTGTGCTGTATTCAGGAGACCCATCTCACATGCAGAGACACACATAGGCTCAAAATAAAGGGATGGAGGAAGATCTACCAAGCAAATGGAGAACAAAAAACAGCAGGGGTTGCAATACTAGTCTCTGATAAAACAGGCTTTAAACCGTCAAAGATCAAAAGAGACAAAGAAGGCCATTACATAATGGTAAGGGAATCAATTCAACAGGAAGGGCTAACTATCCTAAATATATATGCACCCAATACAGAGCACCCAGATTCATAAAGCAAGTCCTTAGAGACTTACAAAGAGACTTAGACTCCCATACAATAATAATGGGAGAATTCAACACCCCACTGTCAACATTAGACAGATCAACGAGACAAAAAGTTAACAAGGATATCCAGGAATTGAACTCGTCTCTGCGCCAAGTGGACCTAACAGACATCTACAGAACTCTCCACCCCAAATGAACAGAATATACATTCTTCTCATCACCATATCACACTTATTCCAAAATTGACCACATAATTGGAAGTAAAGCACTCCTCAGCAAATGTACAAGAACAGAAATTATAACAAACTGTCTCTCAGACCACAGTGCAATCAAACTAGAACTCAGGACTAAGAAACTCAATCAAAACTGCTCAACTACATGGAAACTGAACAACCTGCTCCTGAATGACTACTGGGTACATAACGAAATGAAGGCAGAAATAAAGATGTTCTTTGAAACCAATGAGAACAAAGATACAACATACCAGAATCTCTGGGACACATTTAAAGCAGTGTGTAGAGGGAAATTTATAGCACTAAATGCCCACGAGAGAAAGCAGGAAAGATCTAAAATTGACACTCTAGCATCAAAATTAAAAGAACTAGAGAAGCAAGAGCAAACACATTCAAAAGCCAGCAGAAGGCAAGAAATAACTAAGATCAGAGCAGAACTGAAGGAAATAGAGACACAAAAAACCCTTCAAAAAATCAATGAATCCAGGAGTTGGTTTTTTGAAAAGATCAACAAAATTGATAGACCGCTAGCAGGACCAATAAAGAAGAAAAGAGAGAAGAATCAAATAGACACAATAAAAAATGATAAAGGGGATATCACCACCAACCCCACAGAAATACAAACTACCATCAGAGAATACTATAAACACCTCTATGCAAATAAAGTAGAAAATCTAGAAGAAATGGATAACTTCCTGGACACTTACACTCTCCCAAGACTAAACCAGGAAGAAGTTG